TTTCATGAAAAACAGGCCGTTTTTTGCTCATTTTGGTGGGGCCCCCACACCCCAGGAGCACTTTACAAGCCTCCTAAAGGCTATCCATGCAATTGTTTTGACAAAAAGCAGGCCCGTTTTCATGAAAAACAGGCCGTTTTTTGCTCATTTTGGTGGGGCCCCCACACCCCAGGAGCACTTTACAAGCCTCCTAAAGGCTATTCATGTCCTTTTTTGAGGGGGGGGGGAACCAGTCCGTTTTCGTGAAAAAAATGGGCCGTTTTTGGGAAGGTTTGCAGAGTGCAAAAACTTCTTTTTTAAAATTGCCTCTTCAAAACCTTGCCGCGTCTTATACTCCGGTGCATCTTATACTCTGAAAAATATGGTAAATAAATGCCCACCAAGCAAGCCATACATGTATTGTTTTTATTTTGACTTGTTTTTGGTGATGGAGAGAGAGAAAACACTGTTTTGCTAGTTTCTGCCAAGGAGGGGCGGTGCATGGTGGAACTTCTGTGAAGAAGTAGGTTTCTAGTCCTCGTTGAGGCCGGCGTCGGAACGTTCTAACTGCCCTCTTGGTCTCTTTTTTCCCCTCCCTCCGCAGCTGGTTCCACGGGAAGATCACGCGGGAACAAGCGGAACGGCTGCTCTACCCTCCGGAGACGGGTCTGTTCCTGGTGCGCGAGAGCACCAACTACCCGGGCGACTACACGCTCTGCGTCAGCTGTGAAGGGAAGGTGGAGCATTACCGCATCATCTACTCCTCCAGCAAGCTGAGCATCGACGAAGAGGTCTACTTCGAAAACCTCATGCAGCTGGTGGAGGTGAGGCTGAGCCAAGGTTGGCAGGGAGAACCGGGATGCGTCCCCTGGGTGTCAGAATAACAAGAGTTGGAAGGGACCTTGGAGGTCTTCTAGTCCAGCCTCAAGCAGCTCAAGCAGGAAACCCTAGACCATTTCAGACAAACAGAATAGAATAGAATATGGAATGAGAATAAAATATGGAATGAGAATTAAATATGGAATGAGAATAGAATATAGAATGAGAATAGAATAGAATAGAATAGAATATAGAATGAGAATAAAATATGGAATGAGAATAGAATATCGAATGAGAATGAGAATAGAATAGAATAGCAATAGCAGTGGACTTATATACCGCTTCATAGGNTCCACAAGTCTTAAAGTTGCCAAGGTTGGAGACCACTGGACTACAAGACCTCCAAGGCCCCTTCCAACTCTCTTAATCTGTATAATCAAGTGGATGTCCAGTCTTTTCTTGCCCACGATGCAGCTTCTCGGATTCAGAAGATGGGCTAGGTCTGTCGTTTGACGGCAACCCTTTGAGAATATCTACCTGCCTATCTATCTATATTTAATTAAAATGATTGCGTCACCCTCCTTCTCTTGCATCCTCCCAGCCAGTTCTCTTCGTGCATGACAATGAAGCTGCGATGGCGACAGGAGATAGGAAGGAAGTTGGCCAGATCCATCCCCAATCAGATTTTGCCCCTTTCTAATGTATGATAAGCTTTTAATGAGTTCGTATGAGTGAGTTCATCGCGGAGGAAGAGAATGCTCTTTCTTAATCTTTAGCTACCTTGCAAATCTTCCTGGATGGGGCTTCGGAAGTCTGGTGTGGCTGGGAAATTAACATCTTTTTAAAAAAAATATATATTTTTATTCTTTTTAAACAAAACAACACATACAAAACAAAGCAAGAGAAGAACAAAGAAAAACTTTCCTCCGTTTCATCAAGCATGTCGTTTGGTTTACAAGTTTTTGTGCGTCAATTCTTAAGTTTAGGATTAACATCACTGGTTTACATTAAACATAACTAGATAGTTTCACTGTCATTGAGCATTATGTGTTCAAATTACCATTAATATTCCATGGCTCCATTACCATTAATAATGGTATAAAATTACCATTAATATTCTTTCATAACAATCCTTCTCGGAATCCTCCTTGTCTGGGAACATCGTAGAAGCCAAAGCTGAGTTGAAAAGCGTCCCTCCGTGCATCTCTCTCTCCCTCCAGAGACAGGGGAACAATTTAATTAACCATGAACATTATCCAGCCTTCCTTTTCAATGTAAGCTACTGGGTCAAATCCAGGGCCAGCTTTTATCATCTCTTGTTTGCTAGGAATAACTAAGCAACCAGAAGTTTCCTCTGAAACTCCCCGGGATTGAGAAAATACTCATCGGTGTATCTGGGTTTAGCCTGCACTGGGGGAGTTCTGGGAGTTGAATCCACATATCTTAAGTTGCCACATTTGGGGGGGGAGGGAACCCACTGCTTTAATGCTTCAGGGAGGGTGTTTTTTTTTTTAAAGAAAAGGACTTTATCCTTGGTAGAAGACCAGCTAACTTTTCCTTTGCTGGCTCCTTTGCTCACCCAAAAATATATACAGTTTTGCAGTCTGCTTTTCTGTTTTCAACAGAACCTTGGCAATAGGGAGCCTCTGGGACTTCAGCTCCCAGCATTCCCCAGCAGGGATATCGATGGACTTCAACTCCCAGAATGCATGCCTTCTGCTAGGGAATTCTGGGAGTTGGAGTCCAGCTATTTGACAAACAAGGTTAAGGATTGACGGGATGGAGACTAGTTTGCAGCTAGTTTAGAGGGAGGGAGGGAGGGAGGAGATGATAAAATGGCACATTGAAAGCAACCATGTTGGGTTTCTGCTTTGATTTGGGCTGCTTCCTTGCTGGAAGGACCACTTGTCCTTTCCTTCCTTCCTTCCTTCCTTCCTTCCTTCCTTCCTTCCTTCCTTCCTTCCTTCCTTCCTTCCTTCCTTCCTTCT